TATATAAATCAATAATAATAATAATAATAATAATTATAATTATAATTATTATTATTATATATTAATACATTGTGATTCAGTAAATTAATAAGATATTTACAGCCCATTTATGACTATCTATGACTTTGTATCTTTTATTTAATCTAGCACAAGCATTGGGCCTAGGAAATGGCATAATATCGCAGCCCAAACCATCACTGATCCACCCCCATTCCTCACTCTGAGCATGCATCAATATGAGTAGTACGCTTTTTGGGGGCTTCTCCACACCATAACTCTCCCGAATGTGGGTCCAAGACTTCACATTTAGCTTATGATTGATAATAAAGCGTATTTGGCATGGTGTCCCAGGAGCGAGCCCTGAGCTCAGAATATCCTCAGGCCTGGGGCTACCTTCCGTTTGAAGGGCGAGAGGGGAGTTTAAGCTCAGGTAGGTCTCGAGAGCTCCCCTGCTTGTGAATGTGCTGAGATATATTTGGCTTAAGAGTTGTCTTAAGATGATATCTGGGAGTAGTCGATTAACTTGTGGTGTATGTTTTTGGATGGTGGGAGGGAACTTGGAAACCCAGGGGAAACTCTTGCGAACACAGGGAGAACATGCAAACTCCACACAGAAAAGTCAACCAGCCTGGTGAGGGGCCAAACCTGCGGCGTTCTGGCTGTAAGGCAACCGTGCTAAAGACCAGAAAAGGAAAGGGGTAGATGTGGAAGAGTTGAATTCTTCAAGACGAATATGACTGGGGTGGAAAACTCTGGTTATTTATAGTTTCAAGAGTTCACACTTAGATACTGTTTGACAACTTGTTAGCAAGTTAGCAGGTTTGGCATGCTGTCCCGGGAGAGAACCCTGAGCTTGGAGATAGTTGAGCCCAGGGCTCCCGCCAGGTCCATAGAGCATGTGAGGGGAGTACGAGATCAGGTGTTCTGGAGAGCTCCCCTTGGCAAAAGAGAAAAGGAGGAGAAGGGGTGGATGGGGGGTTTCTTCGGGAAACGAAGATAAGGAAGTAGTTGTTAGCTAGGTTACTTATAGTGAGTTTGGATCAATCTGATTGGCTAGCTAATGAGTGTAGATGAGTGGCCAGTTGCAGTCAATCATATCACGTGCTCCTCTTGAAATTAGTTTGTGAAACTTCATTTGTCAGTATTCATCTGGCGCCTATACGGAGCTGATGTGGTACCAGCCGTGTTCAATCATAAGCTCATGATCCTCTCAAAATTAGTTCATAAATAAAACACGAATATAGTGAAGATGGACTTAGGGATACATGGCCTATGTCAAAATCACCTACTAATCAGTAGATACTGCATTAGAATTTAAATATGTTTATGGGATAGCGTAGGGTCCAGCGGATGCGCACTTCAGAATCTCATCTGAAGTAGTAGGTCATCCAGTTTTTCGATTCTATGAATTTGGATATACTTCTCTACTCTTTTTAGCATACTGTATAGTATGGAAGAATGTGATTTTGGACGCATCCCATGTTTCACATTGTCCACACCCCACGATTTGTGCTACTGACACCATTGAAACCGACAATTGGCATTGGCATAAGTGACCAAAGGTTTGACTATAGTAGCCCGGCCATTAATATTGACGCTGTGCAGCTCCTGATGGACAGATTTGGTAGAAATAGGAGAGTTGAGGTGCACATTTAAATCTGTAATGAGTTGGGCAGCTGCGGTTTTATATTTTTTATCACCCTATATATATATATATATCACTAATCACTAATTTAAATAACATTTAATTTTCAACAACTGTTTCCTGATATTACAAGTACTTTCGCTGATCTAAAGCTTCCTGCAGATATTTTTTTTCTCTCTCTTCATGTTCATGATGTTGTTAATTGCACACAGTGTCTCAGTGTCTGCTGTCCTCAGTCGACTGTATCTTTCAGACTCAGACGCTCTGTAAGAAACGCTGGCAGGCAGGAAGCAGATGCTTGTTAGTCGTCTGGAGCCACAGAGGAGACCAAGAACACGTTTGTCTTTCTCTCTGACACACCACTCAGGAGAATCTGCCCTTATGTCGTGATGACATGTTAAAAAAAGACATACTGGAAACTCCAAACTGTTAAATATAATGTAAAACCAATTCGCCATGGTATATAAGCAAAGAAAATAGTTTAAAGTAATGGAAATGCTTAGCAGAATTATAATCATAATATGTATATAGCATCTTTAAATGAGAAATACAAGCTTAAGTATTAATATTTATTCATTTCACAGACATTTCTCTCTGAAGTGAAAAACTGATTGGGTAGAATGACTGGTTTCTCAATGCTGCATACAGTATGATGGAGGAAAGGGTTTATTCGAGTGGATTTCATCATTGCATAAACTCACATGATAGAATGTGACAAAAAACACTGATGTAACATTTTGTAATGCTGCAACTCTGCTCGTTGAAAAAAAAAACTGGAAATGCAACACTTTTTAATTGTTTTAATTGCAATTCTAACATTTTATATGTTTCCAAAAAAATAATCATTTATTTGTATGTATTAATTCAATGTAATGTGAGACTATATTTTTTATAAAGTAGTTTATTTTACTAGAGCCAGGTTTTAAAAAGAAAAAGATAAAAAGAAACAAACAAAACAGTTTTTGTGTTATTATAATATAATATAATATAATATAATATAATATAATATAATATAATATAATATAATATAATATAATATAATATAATATAATATAATATAATATTATTCATAAATGTTCTTTTCGGCTTAGTCCCTTTCAAGAGTTCACACTTAGATACTGTTTGACACCTTGTTAGCAAGTTAGCAGGTTTGGCAT